GCAGTTACTTTTCCCCAAAACCACAGGTTGCCGACGAGTCATTCCTCAAGCCCACTAGGCCCTACACCGTTTTCTAATCTCCCTTATTTAAAACAGCTCAATTAAGTCATCGGCTTTATTGTAGAGTACCCCTAGTATCTGAGCCTGCACTGCGCAATGAAAGAAAGAAGCAAAACGGGATGGACAGATGCCTAAAATGTTAGAAACGCACCACACCTTAAGTCAGTGAAGAAAAAGAGCAAAGCTTCCAACTCTGGTGGGACTCAAACCCACAACCTTTGAATAGCTCAGCTCACAGCCTAGAAGTCCAATGCGCTATCCATTGCACCACAGAGCCTAAGTGCTCTGCTTCTTCTAGAACTGTTGGACAGAAAGCACTTTTTAGTACTCTCTGGCCCATGAAAGAACAGCCAACTGCGGACAAGGCACTGCTGGAATTCAAAGCCAGGATCTTCTGTTTACTAGACAGGCACTTTGACCAACTAAGCCACAGCACCAAACGACCTTGACACAGGCTAAATGTTTAATTCCAAAAAAAAAAAAAAAAAACTAACAACGGTAGCGCTGCATGTGGGAATGTCTGGACTTGAAATATTAAAGTCCAATTGGTTAGGCATTACCACACTATGCTATATAAAGGCATCGTCCAAAGCCCTCTTGAACGAGCAGCGTTCTTACGGATTTGAGTTTTGTTCAGAAACCGACTGCTAAACATCCCGCTGTGTAAACACTCGTTACTCTTAACAAAAAGAAAACACGAAACCTGTATATTAGGCACTGCTGGGATTTGAACCCAGGATCTCCTGTTTACTAGACAGGCGCTTTGACCAACTAAGCCACAGCGCCAACGCTGAATAGGAGGCAAGACGTTTTTGCACACAGAGACTAAAAAAAGACAGCAAGTCTTAAAATGGCAAGCAAAGAGGTTGTTTAACTCTATTTGTCGCACTATTCATTACGCCTCAAAGCTATACAATTTTATAATTCATTCCGGTGAGCTCTATAAAACAAGCACACACATCACCTGGACTAAGGCGCTGCTGGGATTTGAGCCCAGGATCTCCTGTTTACAAGACAGACGCTTTGACCAGCTAAGCCACAGCGCCACAGAAATTTATAGTAAGAGACATTTGCCCGATAACAAAAATCGAAGAAGAAAAAATAATACACAACAAAAACCAGCATGTCAGGATGCAGAAAATGCTGACAAGCCGGACGCGGTCTTTTAGAGTCTGGATGATCATGTCTCAAGCCTGACCATGTCATCCAAACCCAGAGTCAGCTCGGAAAATGGAAATCAGGACAAACATATGCTATCGGCCATTGAAAGAGTTTCAGATCAGAAAGCCACTCTCCCATAATCTGAGGGAAAGGTGCAGTTTGGATTTGAACCTGGCACCTGCTGTTCCCAAGACAGGTGCTCTGGCCAACTTAGTCCTAACACTAAAAGAAAAAACCTCTGGATACGATACTTCCAAATGCAGTTTCATCTAAGACAGTGGGGGGGGGAAGCAAAAATTACTGTGCTTTCTACTCAGTTACTTTGCACATGCATAAAGAGGCTCTTGTGCGACAAATCCAAAAGGCGTGATCTCAACAATAGGTGGCAGTTACTTTTCCTCAAAACCACAGGTTGCCGACGAGTCATTCCTCAAGCCCACTAGGCCCTACACCGTTTTCTAATCTCCCTTATTTAAAACAGCTCAATTAAGTCATCGGCTTTATTGTAGAGTACCCCTAGTATCTGAGCCTGCACTGCGCAATGAAAGAAAGAAGCAAAACGGGATGGACAGATGCCTAAAATGTTAGAAACGCACCACACCTTAAGTCAGTAAAGAAAAAGAGCAAAGCTTGCAACTCTGGTGGGACTCGAACCCACAACCTTTGAATAGCTCAGCTCACAGCCTAGAAGTCCAATGCGCTATCCATTGCACCACAGAGCCTAAGTGCTCTGCTTCTTCTAGAACTGTTGGACAGAAAGCACTTTTTAGTACTCTCTGGCCCATGAAAGAACAGCCAACTGCGGACAAGGCACTGCTGGAATTCAAAGCCAGGATCTTCTGTTTACTAGACAGGCACTTTGACCAACTAAGCCACAGCACCAAACGACTTTGACGCAGGCTAAATGTTTAATTCCAAAAAAAAAAAAAAAAAAAACTAACAACGGTAGCGCTGCATGTGGGAATGTCTGGACTTGAAATATTAAAGTCCAATTGGTTAGGCATTACCACACTATGCTATATAAAGGCATCGTCCAAAGCCCTCTTGAACGAGCAGCGTTCTTACGGATTTGAGTTTTGTTCAGAAACCGACTGCTAAACATCCCGCTGCGTAAACACTCGTTACTCTTAACAAAAAGCAAACACGAAACCTGTATATTAGGCACTGCTGGGATTTGAACACAGGATCTCCTGTTTACTAGACAGGCGCTTTGACCAACTAAGCCACAGCGCCAACGCTGAATAGGAGGCAAGACGTTTTTGCACACAGAGACTAAAAAAAGACAGCAAGTCTTAAAATGGCAAGCAAAGAGGTTGTTTAACTCTATTTGTCGCACTATTCATTACGCCTCAAAGCTATACAATTTTATAATTCATTCCGGTGAGCTCTATAAAACAAGCACACGCATCACCTGGACTAAGGCGCTGCTGGGATTTGAGCCCAAGATCTCCTATTTACAAGACAGGCGCTTTGACCAGCTAAGCCACAGTGCCACAGAAATTCACAGTAAGAGACATTTGCCCGATAACAAAAATCGAAGAAGAAAAAATAATACACAACAAAAACCAGCATGTCAGGATGCAGAAAATGCTGACAAGCCGGACGCGGTCCTTTAGAGTCTGGATGATCATGTCTCAAGCCTGACCATGTCACCCAAACCCAGAGTCAGCTAGGAAAATGGAAATCAGGACAAACATATGCTATCGGCCATTGAAAGAGTTTCAGATCAGAAAGCCACTCTCCCATAATCTGAGGGAAAGGTGCAGTTTGGATTTGAACCTGGCACCTGCTGTTCCCAAGACAGGTGCTCTGTTCAACTTAGTCTTAACACTAAAAGAAAAAACCTCTGGATACGATACTTCCAAACGCAGTTTCATCTAAGACAGTGGGGGGGGAAGCAAAAATTACTGTGCTTTCTACTCAGTTACTTTGCACATGCATAAAGAGGCTCTTGTACGACGAATCCAAAAGGCGTGATCTCAACAATAGGTGGCAGTTACTTTTCCCCAAAACCACAGGTTGCCGACGAGTCAATCCTCAAGCCCACTAGGCCCTACACCGTTTTCTAATCTCCCTTATTTAAAACAGCTCAATTAAGTCATCGGCTTTATTGTAGAGTACCCCTAGTATCTGAGCCTGCACTGCGCAATGAAAGAAAGAAGCAAAACGGGATGGACAGATGCCTAAAATGTTAGAAACGCACCACACCTTAAGTCAGTGAAGAAAAAGAGCAAAGCTTGCAACTCTGGCGGGACTCGAACCCACAACCTTTGAATGGCTCAGCTCACAGCCTAGAAGTCCAATGCGCTATCCATTGCACCACAGAGCCTAAGTGCTCTGCCTCCTCTAGAACTGTTGTACAGAAAGCACTTTTTAGTACTCTCTGGCCCACGAAAGAACAGCCAACTGCGGACAAGGCACTGCTGGAATTCAAAGCCAGGATCTCCTGTTTACTAGACAGGCACTTTGACCAACTAAGCCACAGCGCCAAACGACCTTGACACAGGCTAAATGTTTAATTCCAAAAAATAAAAAAAAAACTAACAACGGTAGCGCTGCATGTGGGAATGTCTGGACTTGAAATATTAAAGTCCAATTGGTTAGGCATTACCACACTATGCTATATAAAGGCATCGTCCAAAGCCCTCTTGAACGAGCAGCGTTCTTAAAGGGGTGGTCCACAACGATGTCATATTTTAAGCTTTAGTTCATGTGTAATGTAGCTAAGTGAACATAAACAACATCTCTGAATGTAATATACCCAAAGTTCAATGCAAAGGGAGACATTAGCTTTTACAGAGTTAGCTTAGCAAAGCCTACAACGAACGAATTTTGGAGACTACAAACAAAGTCTTCCGCCCCCTGTGACATCACAGGGGTTCCAGGTTACGCGCATTTACTGCTCACACGCCTCGCGCTGCAAAGAAGCGTGGCCACAGACGCGTAAAGAACGGAAAATGCCGAAACGCTGCTATTTTCATGGATCTTGTTCTGCTTCGCTATTTAACCTTCCAAAGGACGTGACACAAAGAGAGAAGTGGTTAAAATTCATTTTTAATCATGTTCCAGAATATTACAAAAAAGATATCACTCTCTGTGCACAGCATTTTACAAAGGACAGCTTTCAAAATTGGTCGCAGTTCAGGGCTGGATTTAGCCAAAAACTTCTCCTCAAAGAAGGAGCAGTACCTACGATAAAAGACGATGCTGGGGATTGTGAGCTACAACCTGTAAGTATTTCTATTTGTTGCAATATCTTACATGCATAGTTTCTAGCATTCATTGTAGGCTATGTTGTAGTACGGACGTAAACCAGGATATAAACCACGAGAAACGCGGTTTGTCTTTAGCAATTGGTTTTGTCTTTGTCAATTGTTAGTCTTTAGTTTGTTGAGGTGGTCTCTAAGTAACAAAGTTATGAACCGGGAGGAGTATGGATCGTCGATCAGAAGCTATACCAAAGTAAATGCGCTAGCTTGTGGATGATATTACGGAAGTTTTCCTGTGCAAATAACAACGGGAGGGTGGCAGAAGATGAGTGTGAAATACGAGAAACTCTCGGGAAAAAACGGGAGTTTAGCAGGTATGATTTAGCTAACGTTACAAACATACGTATCGGTTTTATCCCTGTAATTATCCACGCTCGTCACCAGCAAACACGATGTATATGTATGCGGAAACATTGTGTGAGTTTTACAATTGAAATAGTGGAGTATATTATGTACAGACATCCGAAGTCTCCCTGAGGCGCCGCCACAGCCCCCTCCTCCCCCGCTCGCTATTCATGTTTGTCGTGAAATCTCCCACTCTCGCTTTTTCTGTACGTCGCTTTTCAAACTACTTTTATCAACTTGGGAAGTTTGTACATATACTGATAATGCTTTGAAATAGCCGCAAGTTGCTACGATGATGTACATCTGCTTAAAAAAACACATGCTGGAAATGTATGTTTTGCTGCAGGTTTCAATGGGTTTGCTGGTCTCAATATTGGTCAGGGCCAACACTGAGAACAGCTAGACCAGCACTGAAAACAGCATCAAAACATATCTTACTAGCATGTGATTTTTTTTTAGCAGGGGTGGCAATTAAAAAATAAACAAACACATGCTTTTTATTTTTACCAGACAACATCTCAACAGGTTACCAGCTCCCCAGACCTACCTTCCACACCTACACATGTAGAAGTTGCATGTCAGGTAGACATTAAAGAGACTGTGACAGTAGCCACCAAAACATCACCAAATGTGCGATCAGTGGGTACACAAGTTTCTTTTCGTACTTTGCGGGACATCCATGTAAGAAGCAAAGGTATGTTTTATTTTATTATTTAAATATTTGCTGTTGTTTGTTTGTGCATTCTAAAGTTGTTTGTGTGCCAGGTATATTGTGTATTAAATAGCATGAATAACACAATTCCCTTTTTTTTAATAGGTATTCAGGCGAAAGTGTCTTGTCGTAATGTTGGCACAGAAACAATTTCTTTGCCAGATATGCAGCTCTCTTCAACACCAATTAAGGGTTCAATCTTTAGGCCAAGCAAGCGACCTCGTCTTTTGTTGGAGGAGGAGGATGACAACAATGATGATGAGGACGAAGAGTCTGATTTGCATGTAGAACCACATGACTCCACTTATAATCCGGAATCTGTTGTCACGGAAGATTCACAGTCAGTGTAAGTTAATGCATCTTTATCAACAACTTTGTAGTATACAGAATGTATCATACTATTAAATATAAAATCATAATATTAAAACATTGATTACACTTTGTTTCATTTAGGTTAGATCCAGAATCAAACTACATGGACAACAAATACATTGTATTTGAAAGCTGCCTTATAGACTTGTTTGGTTCCTGTCCCGTCTGTAAGACAAAGTGTGCCATCCAAAAAAGACAAATGGGGACTTTTATTGCATTAACACAGCTGTGTGACAAGTGTAACTACCTACGACAGTGGCAGAGCCAGCCCATAGTAGGTAGTACTCCAGTCGGAAACCTGATGTTGTCTGCTGCTACATATTTCACTGGTGGATCATTCATTCAACTACAGAGGGTAATTTAAACAATAATTTAGTATTCTCAAATAATGCAACAGTAAAAATAAATGTTTATACATTTTAAATACAAATTTTATGTGTGCGTATGTGTGTGTATATATATATATAATGACTTATTGCTTCAATATCTCCTTAGGTTTTCAAGGCCATGAATCTTCAAACGATTCAGTACTCTGCTTTCAGGAACCATGCCAGAAATTTTTTAGAACCTGCCATCATACACAAGTGGAATCTAGAGCAACAAAATATTTTTACACAGCTAAAAAAAGAGGGAGCGGTTGCATTAGCAGGAGATATGAGAGCTGACACACCAGGTATGGTGGGTTTATTTAAATCACTTTGAAATCTGATAAATGTATGTGTGTTAATGTATAATTCTTTTTTTTTCAAATAGGACATTCAGCAAAATTTGGCAGCTACACATTGATGGACAATGAAACCAACAAAATTGTCGATCTTCAACTAATTCAGGTGAGTGTAAACACACAAGAACTGTTATACTTGTTTAAATTTGTAAATGTTTCTACTTATTTATTTGAACTTATGCGTACTTATCAACAGAGCAACGAAGTCGGTGGAAGTTATCACATGGAAAAAGAGGGATTAAAACGTTGTCTTGATAAGCTGGATGCTAATGGTTTAGCTGTTGACTACATAGTCACCGATCGCCATCCTCAAATTCAAAAGTACCTGAGAGAGCGTGGCATCACCCAGTTCTATGATGTGTGGCACTTTGAAAAAGGTAACAATATGTAATACACATGTATATATAAATATATGAGTAATATTACATTAGTAGCAAAAATCAAAAAATGTGTTTAGAAAAATAGATAGATAGATAGATAGATAGATAGATAGAAAGATAGATAGATAGACAGATACATACATACATACATACATAGATACATAGATAGGTACACCGATAGATATAGCACACCGCTACTTATGTGGCAATACTTGTATAAGTATTATATTTATAGAAGCTTAGTCATGTTGATTTTTGTTTTTCATTTGAGTTTCTTGATGTAATTATTTTACAAATTTTGTTTTTGATTGTACAGGTTTGTCCAAGAAGCTTGAGAAGCTTTCAAAAAGGAAAGAATGTGAGGTGCTGAAGAGATGGTTGAAAAGTATAAAGAACCATGTGTACTGGAGTGCGACTTCCTCCGTGTCTGGCCCGGAAAAGGTTGCCAAATTAACATCCTTACTGAACCACATACAAAATATACATGTTCACAATAACCCGCTGTTTCCAAAGTGTGAACACCCTGATGTACTTTCAAGAGATCGCAAAAAATGGTTCCAACCAGGTATTTATCCAAAAAAAGTTTATGAATTTACACAATACTGGTTAAATGTAGAGCTGCTGTTCGTATTTCATGGCTGTATCATTACAGGTTCACAGGCCCTCTATAAAGTAGAAAAGGTTTTGAACAACAAGAGAGTTGTCAAGGATGTTGCAAAACTCAGCCACCACTATCAAACATCCTCACTTGAGGCATTTCATAGTGTGATTCTGCGTTTCACACCAAAGAATGTTGTTTTTCCTTTTATTGGAATGCTGTGCAGGTGTTTATCTTTGTTATTTTCATTTAAAATATTTATACAATAGTTGTTACAATGTGTACATTTTTCATTGGTTTGTTCAATGATTTACAGGTTATATCTCGCAGCTATGCACCAGAATGAAAATTGTCAACGTGAACAGGCAATAACTACTACTGGACAGGCTGTGTACAAATTTGTATTTCCAAAAACGAAAAGGGGGGAATGCACAGCAAAACCAGTGAAAACAGAGCCAACATATGGTAAGTTGGATTTTTTTTTATTATGAGTTCTTAATAACAAAATTACAAATAATTATTTATGAGAAAGTAAATATAAGCAGATTAAATAAATTATGAATAAATATCACAGTATAGTTGTTCCAAACATGTAATTGTTTTCTCAGAAAACATTTTTTTTTATTATTAGGCTACGTGAAGGACCTCATGGTCCTTGTGCTAGATGAGGTCTGTTTGGATCCAGCACCATATGTGGAAGAGCTGCAGTCCATTCCGGTTCCACCACCTCTTTCCTCTCAATTTGAGAAACCCTCAAAAGAGCATGTTATTTCACAGCATGTTTCAAGATTTAATCAAGGGGAGGCCGGAACCCAACATACTGTCCTGCTGCATTCGGAAACTCCTGGCGTATCCGGCGCACCACACATGACGGGATGACAACCCTCACTTCACGTCCTAGCCAGCCCCAGCACCAGCTAACAAAGCTGCGATATGACAGATAACGGAAACGCCTATGGCAATAAAAGGAAACGGATGTCAGCATTGCATATCAAACCTTGCAATTGTACATATGTGTATATATTTATTGTTTATTTAAGTTTTTTTAAACTGGTTTTCAGTGATTTGTACTTAGTAACTTAAAATACATTTATTAACATTTATTAAAATACATTTTACAAAAACTTACTCTTCAACATTTCTGTGTCTCAACGGTCCATAGTCTGCCCTGTATATATTATTTATATTCTGTAATGTGTACATGTTTAAACAATTGGGTTCAAAACCAGGATGCTGCACCATGCAAGTAGGAGGGTCTGGAACCTGCATCATACGCTGGACAACCTAAACCGTAATGTATGACAATAATTAATTTCTGCGTGGTCAACTTGCATGTATCCTTTATGAAAAGTGCACTATTAGTCAAACTCAGAAACATTAATGAAAAGCCATTAATGCAATTACATTACCTTCTGTGTTTCTTTGCAGCAGATGTTTTCTACTTCTGTTGGCATTTTTTCACAGTTATTACAAGTGCACCTAAAGAAAATTAAATGTATTCCCATAACAAAAAATTAGCTTGATTTTGTATATGTTGCCACATAATTATTGGTTGCTGTTATAACATTGAACATTCATCAACAAAACGGATAAAAACAAAATATTAAATATTGCTATTACCATTTACAAATGACAACCTATTTTGAAACTGACACTAGATGTAAAAGAAGAAAAAAAGATGTTATCAAGCCAACAGCACTTCAGAAATCCAGTGAAGACCGCAGCTATTCATTGTTTAGCACACATATTACTGTTACGGTAATTTCGTGACCGTTTTACTCAATAAAATATCATTCATATTATATATATATATATATATATATATTATAACATATAATATATTTTCTGCAACGTATGTTTCATTATGTATGTACAAAACTGCACTGTTTTCAGTATAGGTTCGTCCGTGCTTTCATTTTTGTAAGTATTATTTTCATTCATTTATTCAGCCTAGCCATAATTTATAAATACCTGAAGTGCGTTTTAATTTGTCCTAGCCTTATTACGATAGAATGCCATTACGATTGCATTTTTATGGCGTGGTTAAACCTCAGAAGTGAACGAGAAAACAAAGTAGATCGTTTTACCTGCTCTCTATTACAAACGGAGACATTACAACCATCTTATAATGTACTATTTCCTATATACACTAGTATGGGATGTCATGTTTTTTATAAGTATCATTTTAATTTATTTATTCTGCATAAACATTTAGCTTTTATAATTACCTGAAGTGCGTTTTAATTAAGCCTTACTATGGTACAATGTTATTACGATCGCATTTTTATGGCGTGGTTAAACATCAGAAAGTGAACGAAAAACAAAGTAGTTACCTGCTAACGTTATCCATTAGAAAGGGAGACCTTACAGCCACCATATAAAGTACCATTTGCTATTTACACTAGTATGGAATGTAATTTGTACAAACTGACCATTACTGTGTTACTGTGTACTACTATGAAATGCTGATGGCTTGACCACATTCCTCTTACCAATGAACAAAACAAAAACGTACCATTCCGAAACATCTTGCAAAAGTCGCGTTAGCATTAGTTCAGCTGTGTCCTCTTCATTTTCTGTGTCTGATTCGGGCTCAAACTGATACGGCTTCACTGACATTATTTACAGTCTGACGGACAGCATGCAAAAGAGGCATGACGTTTCCTGGTGACGTGATGCCGATCCACCAACCAAAACACATTAGGTTAGCTGACTAATCAGATCCCTTTGAGGGCGGGCTTTATAGAACAAACCAGGAAATATGATGGTCGTTTCCATGTTAGCTCAGTAGCTGTATAAATTGAAGGTAAGAACTGTGAACAAATAACGTGATTTATTACAAATGCATAATGAACCCACATTGTTTTGCACCCCATAAACACAACCAAAGCTTAAAAAAGCTATTGTGGACCACCCCTTTAAGGGTTCTATCTGACTATTTATATTTGTGTATGTAATTACCTAATTAAAGTAAAAGGTTTAACATAAATAGTTATATATTTTATATAGACTAATATTTTATGCAACACATTTTCACTATTTACCATGTTATTTACCTCTATTAATCACATTCTTTCTATTTCATAAGCTTTGCAATAACCAGATTCCAGATAAATGTTTGTGAATTTTATTTTGTTAGTTTGCTCGAGTGCTATACCTGCATGCAGCGAGTTTGTGTGTGTGTGTTAATTTGGGTGTTTATGCGAGGATCAAGTATCGGATCGAGTTTATATGTCTGTGCATGTGTATGCATGCATCAAGTTTATATGTATATGCGCAAGTTTTATACATGTTTTGAACATAGGATAGGTTTATGCGAGGGTAGGTTTATATGAGAGTAATTTATAGGTCTTTATGCACCTTTATTTAAATCCTACACAGCGCCTCATGGCCACCTGTGTTTGGTGCCGGGAAGGTGGATGGTGAGGTGACAGGTTGACTTAAACTTTTATGATGCCTCAGCTTCTATCATTGCTTCTGACTCGCAGTATGTTCTATCAGGCGGAACAGATTTGATGCGTTCCCGATGCTAGTCGGCACCACTTTCCCGCACATTTTGCACCGAAACTATAAGTTTATCTGAACTTAAAGAGCCAAACAATTTTCACACCAATACATTCGTCTGTCCTCTCTCATCAACTAATTCGTCTGCATTCTTACTTGTGGAAGCTTGTTCCCCTATATCTGTATTCAGGGCACACATTTTGTAGTTTTCTGCGACAGAGTAGCTTAACCAACTTTTGAGCGCTGGCAGTGGCAGCGTGCGTGTCTATGATGTACGTCAAGTGACGCAAGTGACATCACGCTCATTTTGACCACAGAAAGTCATTTAGTTACAAATGATACTGTCACGTTCAACAAATAAGAGTCAAAATAGGATCCAATTGCAAGTGATATAAGGTTTATTTGACCAAGTCAAAATAAACAAACAAGGAAGTGACAGGCTAGGAGGACGACGAACACAGGGCAGGAACAGACAGGAAAACAGGGTCCAGAAATATCTCCTCAGGGGCCTGAGCACAGACACCACACATGAGAACAGATGTAACGAACTGACAAAGAGACATAGAAACGTCACCCTGATATAGGGCTAATAATGAGCCTCAGCTGGTGAGTAATCATCCCCGCTGAGTGTCGTCATGTCACGTGAGCATAACAGATACACATGGACTACCAAAACAAAACAAACCCACGTGATCAAACATACACTCCGGAAAAGCGCACAAACCTGCAACCGTGACAGATACAAGGTAAAAGATCTTATATATATATATATATATATATATATATATATATATATATATATATATATATTTATATATATATATATATATATATATAATAATAAAACATACGTATGCAAATGTATATCGAAATACCGGAAATGGGTTTAAAACTCATATCATCGTTATTGAAAAAAAAAAAAACTATTGCAATATATATTGATATCTAATTATTGTCCAGCCCAACAACAACACTTTAACTACATGATATAAGTGATGCAAAACAAAACCATAAGGTTAAAGAGTCAATGAGATGGCAGGTCTTGACATGAGGACTCCTGAGTAGCCACAAGCATCCTGGGGTAGCCAACACAACAACTTTTATACACCCAATGATGAGTAATGCAGGCATCCAATCAGGATTTACCACATACTCCAATCTGGAGTCTTGGGATCATCACAGTGTATTAATATTGTAAACTTAATACCCGTCACTCTGCCTACATCATAAAACATTCATCAAGTTTGTATTCTACTCAAAAAAGTAAATGTTGTAAACTAGAAACAATCTTAAATCTAAAAGTAAAGAAACTTTACTCATAAAAGCTGCAACACAGGACAATTGAATGGCCTTTTTAAACTTGAGGCCCTGGGGCCTCATGTATCAACGCTGTGTACGCACAAAAACTTTGCGTACGCCAGGTTTCACGCTCAGAATCGCTCACGTTTGGATTTACTAACAATGAACTGAACGTGGGAATGTGCGCAGCTTCACGGCAGCTTTCTGGCAGGCGTACGCACATTTTTTGTGCGTGTCTGTTTTATTTCCATTGGCGACTCCTAGAGGCAGTTGTGTTAAATTCCTCTCTACAAAGTGTCTGAGCCTTGCAATGGCAGCTGTATGAGACGGGTTCATCTAGTAGGTATGTAAGATTTCCATACCATACAGTTGACCAGCTAAACATTAAAGCACAATTTGCAGCAGTCGCCTGTTTTCCCAATGTAATCTGAGCAATCTACTGCACACACATTGCTATAAAGACACTATCTGAAGATGAATTTGCATGTGTGAATCAGAAACATTTCCATTCAATAAATGTGCAAATAAAATATGATGCACAAACTTATTGATGATTCCTACTTGTCTTTCTCGTGATAAATAGTGGGCAAAATCGGATATGTAGCGGGGAAAAAAAAGAAGAAAGAATTCATCAGACGCTGGATTTCGAACCGAGTTCATGCTCTAACATGTCAGAACATGTTCACATGCTTCTTATGAGGTGCGCCACTGAGACTACAAAGCATACTGCAACATTTTACAGATATAAACCACACTATTTCTTGTTTAAATGCACTCAGTGCGATGTTCAGACCCAACTGTGTTAACCGTATCAGCTAAACTCTCCCACTCTATTTTTTTCTTTTGTTGTTAATTCCGGAGAACAAACTTGCAAATAACACCGCTTTTCTCCGGTCTACCTCCGAAAGCAGCACCTCCAGTTCACATTCTGTTCAAAGTTTCTCTTTTTGCTTGATTTTGCCGTTGCTTTTTCGTTGGGTTTTGCCATTAGCATAGTCATTAGCATATTCATACGGGGGAGGAGGCAGGGAGGGGTTTTGTGCTCGTGCATGTTGCGCTCAGTTTCACATTCATTCAGATGTACAAAAGAATATGCGTGAGATTCGGCGTACGCAGTGTTTCATACATCTGAATTTTTTTCTGCGTACGCACATTTACAGCTTTGTGCGTACGCAATGTTTTAGTAAGATTTCCACGCAAGTCTTCGTACATGAGGCCCCTGGTATACTGCAAACTAACCGTCCTGGAGCTCCACCCTCTTTGATGTGCGGTGTCTTCCCAGTGATTTGTTTCTCATTCAGGGAGTCAGAAAAAGAACACCATCCAAAACAACACTAGCTACACCAGGGGTGGCCAATCCTGTTCCTGGAGATCTACCTTCCTGCAGATTTCAGTTGCTACCCTTATCAAACACACCTGTCTGTAATTATCAAGTGGATTTCAGGTCCTAATTAATTGGTTCAGGTGGGTTTGATCAGGGTAGGAGCTAAACTGTACAGGAAGGTAGATCTCCAGGAACAGGATTGAGCACCCCTGAGCCACATGAATACACTGGAGAGTAGAGTAAAGATATATCCGCACCAGTACAATCACTTGCAAAGAGATTTTAAGCCACAGAGATGGTGTTTGGCAGATGTTTATGAAACTGTTCTTCTCTCATTCACCATTACTGTGTTTACAGTAAACGCGAGAAGTGAAAAACATTTACAACCCCACCTACTGCAGTGTAAGAGTGTTGGAAAACAGTATATCGTCACTCAGCCTTTTCAAACATTATTCAGACATGAAAAATCTTGTGCACATGAGAAAAGGTTTTGCTGCATTCATGTCATGTGTGCAACTTTTTGTTCAAGTGTTTCTTAAGCTGCGCCGAATGAGCAAAACACTGTAGACACTCATCAGATCAGTACAGTTTCTCTCCAGTGTGAATCCTCTTTTCTGTTTTCAAATGTGTTAACTGATTAAACCTCTTGTCACAGTGTGAACACTTGTACGGTCTCTCCAGTGTGAATTGTCTGGTGCAGTTTCAATTTTGGTACTGTAATAAAAGTCTTCTCACACTTAAGCATATATACTTTTTCACACCAGTGTGGATCGTCATGTGTTCATTAAGGTTTGCTGATTGGATGAAACTCTTCCCACACTGAGTTCATGTGTATGGTTTCTCTCCAGTGTGGGTCTTCATGTGTTTCTTAAGGTATTTGTACACCAGTACAAAGTTAGTTTTCAAATAAATTAAAAAGGAAGATTATTTTGAGTTTAAGTTATTTAATCATCGTTTCTGAAGACTGCAGAGTGATGCATGAAAAAATGACTTTAAATATTTTTTAAAGCATGTTGTGATATATGTTAAAATGTGCCCCCAAAAGTACAAGTGACCCCTGCCTGCAAATATTCAAAAGGAAATACATTAATCCAATTCAAATATATAAATTATAAAATGACGTTTACTTTAAACTTTAATTATACTGTTCGTTAAAATTATTTTTAAAAGAGTGTCAAATAAAAAAGATTTCTAGAGTCACCATAAATGTGGCTTAAGGGTATTGGTTCAGGCTCCATTTTGGCACCAGTATTATTTTAAAAGTATCGATTTAGCACCGGTATTGAAACAAACCCAAATGATACCCAACCCTAGCGATTGGTCCATATTTTAAATTTCTGCCCATAGAGTTCGTGTTTTGATCTACGATTGGTCTTACACAGTCAAGTGATGTGATTTCGCAGGTCAGAGTTCACCAATATTGTACTTTGCAAGGCAGTGAACTGCGAAACTTGACGCAGAAACTTGCGTTTCCGGTCTAAAGCATTTACGTGCATATGAATGGAAGTCTATGGGGAGAAAAGTGCATGTGAATGGTTTCTCTCCAGTGTGGATCCTCATGTGGTGATTAAGGGATGATGAGCGGCTGAAACTCTTCCTACACTGAGTGCATGTGAATGGTTTCTCTCCAGTGTGGATCCTCATGTGGTGATTAAGGGATGATGAGCGGCTGAAACTTTTCCCACACTGAGTGCATGCAAATGGTTTCTCTCCAGTGTGAATAATCATGTGTTGTTTAAGGTGTGATGAGCAGCTGAAACTCTTCCCACACTGAGTGCATGTG